ATTGAATACTGTCACTGAGGCATTTTGCCTGGAAAACTACAATTCAATGTCTACTCTAACAGTGAAGGGTGTTTTAAAAAGTGGTATAAATCTATTTTTAATTATGGTGATACTGTATTTTGGATATTGCTGAAATCATCGTTTTCCAGCACTTTATTTCTGCATCTGTGCTCATTTCTGACTCTTTCTTTGTTCCCACTAGTTCCATTCTAACCTGCCACTTCTCTCTCCTCCACACAGCTTCTCCAGCATCATGCATGAGACTGTCAGGGACCTGTCACCATTGTGCGAGGTCACTTTCCTCCAATCGGAAGACGGCAGTGGGAAGGGAGCGGCTCTTATCACGGCAGTTGCATGTCGGATAAGAGATTCCGGGCAGCATTAAGCCAATGCTTCTAGTGTACTTCCCAAATGGCCCCTTATTGCTTATTGTCAATGTAGTGGACTAAATACAGTAGGAAATAGGGGTGAATTTGGGACTTGGTCAATGACAAGGTCACAGCAGGGACAGGATGACAAAGGGATATTGGATAGAGTGGCACAGTAGAATACTTTGAGATCTGCTGTGCCTTTTTTTAATTAAAATAAGGAATGTTCCCAACAGAATGTAGTTTACTTTTGTACTAGAGCGTGGGGAGATGTTAAAAAAAATTGTATGGCCTAAGTGGTCTGCTGTTGAGTGTTTTGTGTGTGTGTGTGTGTGTGTGTGTGTGTTTGTCTTCTATGGAGAATGTGTAGATAGTTTTTTGAAAGCCAAATATTTGCTTTGACTGCCGTACCATTTTTCGTCCACTGGAACCTTGGTCATGTTTTGCCTGTGTTGTTTGTCTGTCTGCACAGACTCTGTCTTATGTCTCAAACAACAGGCTGCTCTGCTGAATGGCTTGTTAAAGTTAGTCAAATGCTGTCTTCTGCAGATTGGCCCGCTGTTTAGTTCTGACCTTATGAGGAAAAATCCAGTGGTGTGTTTTATATGGTTGTGTAACGCAGGCTAGTCTTTTTCATCTTGCAGACATTTATTCAGCTACATTTCAGTTTATACAATGAGCACGATTTTGCCGTAGAGAATAAGCACCTGAGCAGAATGACGACTTCACGTGCATAGAAGCATCGGGGTGATCCAAATGTCTCAGCCCGATGGACCGAAGATCTCAGATATAACTATCCCAATTGTCTGCTCACAAGCAGATATTTACTTATTGAAATGTGATGTTAAGGCACTTGATTTGTTTGTGGTTAGTGAGAAGGGTGACTGCTGTACTAAGAATGTAGCTACATCTGGGTTCTGGTATAAAAACATTTTTTTTAAAGAAAATAAATGTGCATTTGATCAACACACGCGACAGGACAAGAAGGTGGGTTTTCAATTTTTCAGACAATTTTTTGCTTCCATTGCGCCAGACTATTATCAAATATGCACATATGCATATCTCATAAAACTTTACTCATGATTATATGTCCAACTTCATAAATGTTTAGCGCACTCTTAGAACTGTAATGGGACATTAATTTATTCAAGAAATGTGTTGTTTCATAAATTGTAATGTAATAAATTTGCGTGTTGTAGTCTTCATAGAAAATGTACGTTTTTTTGTCTTGAGTCTTTTCGGGTGAGGATTAATTGTTGTTGATTCACACAATGTGTCCATTTTCTATTGAAATACACCATATCTTAGTATAGTCCCTGGTGAAAGTCGGCTGAAGTCTGCGGAGTCCTACAATGCTATTGTGTGTCGTCGATTAATTGCAACTTCTGTTTTGTTTAAATGGTGAGTTGAGGCCCTTCAACGAGTGGTCAAGACATCACACTGTGGCTGTGCTCATTCATCAGAAACACCTGAGCCAGGAAACACCCTAGCCCCTCCCACAGCCAGACAGGAACTACATTGATGTGTTGGGTCCCGTGCTAACTAACCCGGGAGACAGTTTTATCTATAAGCTATGCAGTCGGTTTCACCTGGCTGACATACTGTCAAGCACACATTAGCGCATGCATAAATAGTCTACAAACAGCCCCTCCGAAGTAGTGGCACCATTAGTAAATCGGGATCTTGCCGCTGTCGTCAATTTAGGCATACGTCTCTAAACTATGGCACCGCGAACAGGCAAATGCTTGGAAGAAATGTGCGGTATATTGAGCACTATTTAGACAAACATCTGGCAGCCTCTACTGATACCGTAAGTGCCCTGTTGGGGGTTTCCTTTCCCCATTCAGTATTTTGTGTTCTTTTCTGGGTCCTGGCTGGTGGCCCTTCCATCCAAGCAGTGGGCTGGGACATGATTGTTACTTTCACATTTCTAGTTAATTTAAAATGTAAAAAAAGGTTTAAATGAACACTGTGACATTCTTTCGTTATTTAACGTGGCTCTTCCCAAATTTTGGTTTAACACGGACGATGTGAAACACAATTGAATATGATTTTGATTAATTGGAAGCAGCACAGCATAGTCCTGTTGACACATTTAACTTGAAACGCATCCGCCTTAAAGGTTAATGTGAGAGATACCATTTGCAGCAGTAAACAGAAACGGCGCCACGCGTTGATTAGCGGGGTGGCATTTTTCTCCAAAGGGCGAGTACATTTCACTCTGTGTTTATGTGAATACAGTGTATGCTATATTCATGTGAATACAGGGCATGGAAGCTGCGTCTCACAACCCAGGCTCTGCCAAGAAAATGCTGTCCGTCAAAAGTCAGCAGTCAAACCAGAATGGGAATTTCTGACAGACGCAACAGAGAGGTCACAAATCTCTGAATGGAGGAGCTACAGAGGTCAAAGGCCATGAAGTAACAGAGGGCCGATAAATTATCCAGAGATACTGTGAGTATGTATGGCATGTGTAGGCAACGCATTTCTTATTTATCCTATAAATTATTCTTAGTTTGCAAAATATATACATTATTCATTTATGCTATTTATTATTGGTGTATATGTTACATACTGGCCGAACTATGCCAACACATTTTTTGCTGATGCCCTTTGCATGCGTTTGTGTTCTGCCATACGAGATTAGTTAAGATATTATCAGTACAGACAGCAAATGGGAAAGTAATCTCATACACTGCTCATAAAGCTAAAATGTGAGGTATTCTGTTGTTGGATAATCAAGCAATATGGCACCATCAGGTGACGGTTAAGTCTAAGACGGTTTTGACTAAGAGCAGTTCAGAGGCACAATACATTGCTAAATATATTGGCTGTATATTGGCAATAAATTGTATACCACCCAAGATGCCTTATTGCTGTTATGAACCAATATATTTACAATACTACCCCCCTTTGTGTCTAATTCCTCACATATACCATGGCTTTCATTCAATTAGCATTCAGGTTTTTAAGCACCCATTTTAGGTTTGCGTATATGCCACTTTAAAAGCTTTATCAGGAATAACATTTCAGTTTGGTGTAGCCCCAGCAGAAAGGCAATCAGATCTGGCAAGGAATGCGATTAACATCTACAAACTGTTGTATGAGTGCAAATTGAATCACAAACATACTACAACTAGTGGAGAAAGGTTGTGGCACAAATTACATGATACCACTGGTTTCATCTACATTGTATTGCCTAATCAATCACCCGTAAATATTTAATTGATAATGACAGCAATGCACAGTAAAAAACATTGTTACAAACAATTAACTAAATGTATTTCCTGTGTGTTTCATATTTAGTTTTTATTGTAAAGCACATTGAATTCCCCTTGTGTATGAAATGCTATACAAATAAACTTGCCGTGTCCTGGTAACAATGTTAAAACAGACTTTTGGAGAACAATATGCTGGGGCTTGGGTTTTCCTTTGGGAGAAACGTTGGATAATATAAAATAAGGAGACAGATGTCCTGTGAGGAAATTACGTTTGCATAGGATTAATGTGCTGAACAATTGTAACCTTAGAAATCCCATGTCTCAACCCAACTGTGTTCCGTACCAAAAGTCGCCACGGATACGTCCTGATGCCCCAACAGGGCCACCAAACAATAGATTAAATTAGTTGAAGCTCTTCAGTTATCATCCAATCAGTCCGGTTTGATTCTTGCAATCATTGTAATTACAACGCACGTCCGTGACAGGAGTGTCAATCCTTCAAATACATTGTATTTTCTTTTGTTCCGATCCGTCTATACAAAATTACCGATTCTCTGGAGTTTGGCAGCTCGAATTAGTACACAATGTGAATCGTTTGCAATGTGCTCAAGTGTAGTCTGTCTGCACTGTATGGTAATGACATCAAATGCATCATCACAATATGTGTAAAAACATGGTCCAAAGATTGTCCTCGGACTGGGATGTCTCTACAAGCAGGGATGTCTTCATGTATCTTGTTCCTAGACAGATTTTCCCAAATTCACATGTCTGGTGTCTCAATCTGACTTGGCCTTGACCAACAGCAAAGTATTAAGATTCACTATGCAATAGGAGCTGGTCTAATCAGCTAAGTCTACCAACCAATAATCTTCCCTTACATGTCCAGTGCACCCAAGCACCGATCACTACATTGTTTCTTACGGGACCACTCTCTATTCAGCACTGGGAAGATGACTCAATATTTACGGGACTGACTAGACAGAACAGAACCGTTTCGACTTCATTAAAATGTGTTCATTGTTTTTAAATCACATTGAAACAATGGCTAGCTAACTGAAGAATCGTTGCATATTGTTGAAGGCTATTATGTGGGTAGATTCTCTTTAGTTTCATGAAGTGGCTAACTCTGGCCAGGCTAGACTGGATCACATGTGTTTGTGTGCATTAGCAGTGCCATTCTGTCCGCAATGCCACTCCATTTGGGATGACGCATTATAAAAATGGAAATATGACAAATGCTTTACTCGGTGTGTTGTGTCTTCAACACCTCATTAGTAAAAGCACCACCGTCTGGCTAGCCTCTGGAGAATAATATGCAGGCAGGTTTTACGGTGGCTAAGCTGTTCAGGAACATGTTGGATCTCGGCTGTTCTTACATTATAGTCGTTTAGCTGAAGCTAAATCCCTATCCAGACCGACATGGGAATTGAACCGACAAACGCTGGCAATGCAAGAGCCACGCTCTACCAACGGAGCTACACGGGACCATTGTCGGTTGAAGGAGCTGTTGATGCAGCAGCCAAGATTGCTCTTATTCACACAGCCAAATACCATTTTCATGGGCCCTATTTACACTACGTGTGTTTGTGCCATGTGATTCCCTCAGCGACGTGTAAAAGGACAAACCTTAAACGTCCTCCATGTCAATGTGGATAGAGACAGACTGCCTTCCTTTTGGTCGAGATGCCTTTGCCTTTATTTTACTTTTACATTTGCACGGCCTGACTCAACCAGTGGCTTTCAGCACATAGCCCACTAGCTTGCTAATGTAACAGCTGTGACAGTAAATTGAGTGAGAAGTATGTCAACATTTAGGACAAGACTGCTCATCCTGTTCCTGGAGATATACCATCCGGTTTGCTTTCTCTTCAACCGCGGGTATGACAAAACCATGTAGTTTTTCATTCCGGTAATTATTAGAATCATGTGCGGTCAATTGGGTCAATTCTGGCTCTCCAGAAACCGGACGGAGACCTTCTGATTTACATTTATGGACTGCCAAGTGAGTATTGCTAAGATATAGTTTAGTAATTCCGTCACAATTGAACCTAGACAACATAAATAGAACAGTGATACTTTGGCATATTGAAAGGAGTCTGACTTACAGTTTGACGGCATGGTGGCATCACCAATCAGTAATATTAAAGAAAGTATTTTCTAGCTAAAACCCATATCTATGTCTAGTTGGACAGGAATGTATTGCAGACATTCCTGTTTAATTTACCCATTACCAATGACCATGAATCTTTTGTTTTTTTGCCAGACAAAACAACAATCAACAAGCTCCACCTTTTGACCACTATATTCATAGAACATTTATTTCATTTCATTCCATTAACCTTTATTTAACCAGGTTCGTCTCATTGAGAATACAAATATATTTCACAACAGAGACCTGGCCAAGAATGGCGGCCGTACAATGTTTCTGAGATTAAAACATCACACTCACATGAGTGAGGGTTCCACAGTGATGAGTGAGGGTTCCACAGTGATGAGTGAGGGTTCCACAGTGATGAGTGAGGGTTCCACAGTGATGAGTGAGAGTTCCACAGTGATGAGTGAGGGTTCCACAGTGATGAGTGAGGGTTCCACAGTGATGAGTGAGGGTTCCACAGTGATGAGTGAGGGTTCCACAGTGATGAGTGAGGGTTCCACAGTGATGAGCGAGGGTTCCACAGTCATGAGCGGGGGTTCTACAGTGATGAGTGGGGGTTCTACAGTCACGAACCTTAAGGTTCAACGATACGCAGTATCCAACATATGGAGACAATAGACTGATGCATTCAAGTTACAACAGAGGTTCACCGTAGTCAAGAACAGGCAAGAATGTCTCTTAAAACAGTCTTCGCCTGACAGCAAGCAAAAAGCAAGATTTATTTCTAAAATAAAAACCTAACTTCTATTAAATTTTTTCACATTGTCCCCGGAGTCTTGACCGTTGCTCCCAGGTGTGTTTTGGATCACCTTTTAAACAGAATGGCCTGTTACCTGTTACGTCTGGCAAAAAATTATTGCCCTAATTAAGGAACCATGCATTTTCACCATATCAGGGTTCTAAAAAATATAAAATAAATAATAAACTGTTAAATAATCTATCTCGTCTCGGAAATTAATCTGAATTGCATCTTGCAAGACATTCAAAATACACATGCAAGTGTATGAACAATCTTAAATGTAAAGGTTTTACCCAGTTACTACTGCATGGTACAGTCGAAACTGACATTATTCTGGGAAAAGAACATTTTGTTTGTTTTTGAGTGCTTTTGGCCACTGGAGTATGCTATGTCATCTCTTGGGAGCATAGACGTGAGCTTTCCTGAAATAGTTTTTGAAAGGTTAAGCAGAAAATCTTCATTTGTGCAAAATCACCATCCGCTGTAAAAGTTACTGTTTTCAGACAATGTTACTGGTGAAGAAGCCAGATGTAGAGGTCCAGAACAGACATACTGAGGGGGAAGGTCTGAGACGTAACTTGGCTCTGAAGCATTCAGAGATTTATAGACAAGTAGTAGAATTTTGAAATCTATTCTAGAGAACTTTTTTAGAAAACTAGAAACCTGCCATTTGATTAGTCCAACCTACTGAAAATAAAAGTGCTTCTATCTTGTTCTTTAATTCTAGCTATGTTCTTGAAGTGATAATGGGCTGATTTTGTTATTACGTTTATGTGGCTATTGAAATTCAGATCAGAAACCATAATTATCCATAAAGATTTTTAAATTGGCTTTCAGTCGAAAATGGGACAGTCTCAAGGTAGTTATTTACAGACTGTCAGTCTCTTGTCTTCGGCACCAAAGACAATTATATCTGTTTTATCGTAATTTATTTGCATATGGAGCTGGCACAACCAACTAGCACAACCAATCGTTGATTTTTTTCAAATCAATGATCGAGTGAGTCTACGTGAGCATAATTACTAGCTCAGAGAGCTATAGATTTGAGTGTCATCTGCATAATGATGTAGAGCATTTTTGTAGGTTGGGATAACAGTAGCATATACGTCTTAAATTAAAGAGGCCCCAGGTTGGAGCCTTGAGAAACCCCACATGTTCTCTCTGAAACACTGTTGCCTTTAGAGAGAAAGCATTCTCTGCATGTCTTGTCATTAAGACTTAAGTCAATTTAGGACCGTGTTACTTACTAACCTTCTGAAACCTAACCTTTATGAATATCTACACCTTGTCAAAAATGCCTTGCTTTATAGCGTTGACTTTGATAATTATTTGATAAAAATGTGTTGTTGCATGTCTCATCAAGCAACAAATGCCCTAACTGTAATGAGTGTCTGCTATTTGACTAAAATGTAAAAGTGGTAAAAAAAATCAGAAATTGCAATTCCACTGTTTATAGAAAGCTCTTGTTTGCAGTCATTGCAGCAGTATTGTGTTGCAAAGCTTTGATCATTAACTAAATGAAATAACTGTACACTGTTATTTGTTCACTCAGGTTCTCTTTATTTAAGATAACATTTATCAAAATATGCCGCAAAGTTACTTTCCATAAGACATGCAGCACAAATGATTACATAAAAGTGTCCGCTGTGTGGGATATCCTCTTTGATCATTAGGCTACGTTTGAAATGGTAATAAAATTCAGCAAGCCAGCCTTTAAGGCGTCACTTTAAAAAATAAATGCAGCTTGAAGCACATCAACTCTCCTGACCGCCCTGTATTTCTGAAGACTTGGTACACAGCTGATGGAAAAAGACATTTGTAGCCTGCGGCTCATTGGTTAAGAGCGGATGCATCGGTGACATTGTTACCTCCTTCACGTCCGCCTATCGCGCGCACAAATACCGCAGTATAACACACAGGCACACGAGGACAATGAGATGAATGGTACCCAGCAGTTAACATTTAAACCATCTGTCCGACACTTCTAGTGACATGTATATATGTGTGTATATATATGTGTGTATATATATGTATGTGTGAGAAAATAGAGCAAAGTGCCCCACTCATGGGCATATACTTATTTTATTTAGTGGCCCAGCAGTCTAACTGACATTACAGATTAACATGGACCCCATTTACCCAATATGCCGTGTGATGCATTATAATAAGCCTGCTACAATATCAATCAAACAAATTAAGCAGTCCAGAGGCACCAATTTAGTCTTATTTACTGGTCGCCCTGAGGATAATTAAAAAACGCCTATTATCTTTTTTTTAAGTGCTAAACACTGCATTTTAAAAGCGCAATATTGACTAATTAAATGATTCGCCCACTATGAAGACCATTTTCAATACAAAGCGGCGATTAAAATGTATGATGTAGTAACATTGTTACAACTAAATAATTACTCTTGGAACATCAATATCGGCATACGTGAAATTACAAATGCACCTTCCTCAGATATCTACAGATAAAGGAAAACACAGTAGTCAGACAAATGAAAATAAGTGGTTTCACAATCCATAAAAGCAGTTTGTTGATTCAGTCTGTCCTGAGCTGCCATTCACAGTGACTACTGCTACAGGGCATGGCAGGCTTCACTTAAACGGAGACATGTCAGAATGACTGTGCAGCCGGCGTAAGAACTGGAGCCATTGAATTTATTTTAATTCACAAAACAAATTGAATATCAAATATTCCAGTGAGATAGGACCCCAACTGTGGTCAGATAATGAAGGGTTGATATTGACATTGGTACTGGGTCAGAGGTCAACACTATCTCTGGAGGATCAGGGTAGAAATACAGGCCTGAAGCCATGACCTACGGGCACACTCACTGTCTGCTTGCTACAGCTACAAAGACGCTTGAATTTCAAATGAGAGACAGCAATTCTCTGCAAATGTTTTAGATTCACTGTTCAAATAAAAACATAGGCATAAATATATACACAGACACAATGCAATAATCTCCACTAGTTTTGTCCCGCTATTTTGTTTTAATTCAGAAGGAGCATTTATTGTTGCATTTATTGTTAGTCTCTTGCTCACGGACAGAATGACAACTATCTCCACTTGTGATCGCCAACCTGATGCCCGAACCACCAGGCTATTCGCCACCTAATTATCCCAGGCGCGGCACACTTCCATCGGGCTAGTCTCCTCCTCAAAATGAAGGCCCTTTTTGTTCAGCGTGGTGTCCGGGCCTGATTCTCCGGCCGCCCCGTTCAAACCAGTCCCTACATGGACCGCGTTGCATCCGACCTTAGACATTTTCATTAACTCAACCTCTAGGTGCACAGAGTCGGCCACATTGCCATCGATATGCACCTTGTTCCGCGCCCTAAACAAGACGAGGTTGGGGTTGCACGCAGGCTCCCTCAAACGGCCTTCACCTGCTCCAACATTACACTCATTTCCAGGCCTGCATGCCCGGGTTCCCCGCACCGCTACCTCCCCCCGATCGCCCCGGCAACAGGAGTTGGTCCGGCAGACTGCCTGGAAGCCCCTCTTGAAGTTCTCGTTGAAGTAACCGTAAATAATGGGGTTGACGGAGGAGTTGGAGAAGGCGAGCCAGTGTGCGAAGGGAAAGA